TGGTTATTTTAAATCATAACTATTTATATCAATTTAATATATTAGTGACTCTCGTGATGCAACCTTAATTTAACACGCTTAAAGCCTAAAGTAACGCACAAATGTTATCAGCTTTATTGTTTTTCCTCTGTGATCAAAATGTTAGCTTATAATGTTTGTTATAAGTTTGGAGAATATTTCCAATTTTTCTCTTATGCTCAAGCTGAATACTGTAATACATGGCGTAGTAATAACATCATTCTAGATTATGACTATTTTGAAAACACTATGAATAAAGTTACGTAATTAATATTGAAAATTTATAATAATATTAAGATAAAAGGTGAGTAAACTGGAATGGACGGCAACTCCCTGTTGTAAAAACACAAGTGTAGAGGGCGACGTTTCGAAAGTCCTCAGTCTTCACCTTTGGTAAGAGGGTAGCCCAAGAGTTCGCGGTGGGTGGTGTTGACTAGCTGCTTTCCCGCTAGTGTATTACCTCTAAATTAGGAACAGCTAGCGCATATAGCCCTCGAATAGCATTGCGCGAAATTCAATAAAGAGAGTGTCATAAAATCACCTTTTAATTTCGTTCTTAGTGTTGTTGGCGTTCCAGTTTTATTTACGTTTTTATTATAAGTGTTCTAATTCATATATGGAGGTGTTATTGTTGTGTCGAAAACTTCAAACTATCCATTGTGATGAACATTTGACACAATGTTGCCATTTAAAAAATTAAACATCATGTTGCTAGTAGTAGTATTCAGCAGAAGCAAAGGGTACCGAAAAATGTAACATTTTTCAACTGAATGTGATGAAAATTGATTTACTAGGAATTGGTTTTATATGAAACTAACATTGATAATATGGTTGACATCAGCTGATGGAAACTGGATATTATTTTTACTGTATTTTAAAATTATAAGGAACGCCTTTTACATACCTATTTACCATACTCATACTTGACACTTTCTCTTATACCAAGCAAAATGTAATCCTTAAGTTGAACAGTTTATACCTTTAGATACCTTATGCATGCTACCTTATCAATAATACGCTTGTGTTTCTCTGTCCGGAACTATTCTCGCAAATTGCTTGATCAAAGCTACATGTCTCGTATCGTTAGAAAAGCATTTGTCCAAGGAGTCCGATTGCATATTGGTTTTCCAATTCAAAATCACATTACCTGTTTTTTTGCTTTTTCTAACTTTTCAATGTAAAGAGTATGGTATGGTACACGGTGACACAATGCCCTTGTCATCACGTGACGACTGGCTTCGCCTCACTTCGATTTCAATTTTTTTTTTATTTGCAAAATATTTCACACACACAACATTGAACCAGCGTGTAATTCCCTAAAAAATGAACATTACACTAGATACAATTTATATGAGCTTTCTCGACTTATTTAAATTGAAAATATGAATGTGTAGTTTGTTGAAAACCATATGCTTATTACTTTGTGAATACGCATTCAGACGTGTCTGTATATTCAGCTTAGTTTGCCTTCACTTCAATCTTACATTTGCTTTACTTTGCAATAACTTAGCTTCGTGTTTTTGCAATAATTTAGCTTCGGTTCGTTTCATAGACTGCTATGAACACCTTTTAGCTACTTTTTTGAACGCTCATAACTGTTTCATACTTTCTACACCATTATAAACACCATTACTTTGCTTTATTGTTTACGTTATGCGCAGTTTTATTAAATAAAGTTACGTCTATGTGAGTTTGTTTGTCTGACCGAGTAATAGTTTTCTCAAATAGACCAGGATTTATCGATCTAACACATTATGCCTGCAAGAAAGCGCAACTTAAATGGCCTGTGAAAATGATAGAATAGAGAAATTTAAGCCAAGGGCATGATTTGTTTGTGTTGAATTTCGCGCAAAGCTACATGAGGGCTATCTGCACTAGCCGTCCCTAATTTAGCAGTGAAAGACTAGAGGAAAAGCAGCTAGTCATTACCACCCACCGCCAACTCTTGGGCTACTCTTTTACCAACAAATAGTGGGCTTCACCGTCAGAGCTGTTAGCAAACTTAACAATTGCAAACAATTCTTCACTAATTCCAGGGCTGGCATGGCCAGGTGGTTAGGGCGCTCGACTCGCAATCTGCGGGTCGCGGGTTCGAATCCCCGTTACACCAAACATGTTCGCCCTTTCAGCCA